AATTGGTAATAAAACAAAAGTGCTGACTTTTATATTCCTTGATTCTTCTAAGAGAATTTGAGTTGTAAAATTGTATCTATGAAAAGTTGAGCTGTGAAAAATGTTAGTTTGCACACTTGGGTATTGATAACCTTTAAATCTTGATAGACATTAATTGTATTTCTTTTCTATTACTCTTAAATCTTATATTAAAGTGGAACATCTGTTGTATTTTTAGGATATGTATCGCTTATTTTTTTGTGAGAAACAAAACCCAAATATACCCCCCTCAAAAAAATGAGTTATATGTTGCCAGTAAAAACTTTTTCTGAAATGCTAGTTTTGTCCACATTATAATGAGCAAGGTTTCTATGAAGTTTCTTTAATGTATTGAGTATATTTTCCCCCTTTATTGATTGTAGAGAGAAAGGAAGGGGAGGGAGAGAGAGATAGAGACATTGATGAGAGAGAACATCGATTGGCTGCCTCCTGCATGGCCCCCACTGGGGATCGGGCCCACAACCTGGGCATGTGCCCTGACTGGGAGTCGAACTGGCGACCTCTTGGTACATGGGTCGACGCTTAACCACTGAGCCACACTGGCTGGGCTCTATTGAGTATTTTTAAATACAACTATGCTCTAGGGTGAGAGTCATAAAATCTTTTCTGCAACAGGTGGGACAGTGAATATTTTAGGCTTCATCAGCCTATGATGTCTGTTGCACTGCTCAGTTCACATGCAAAAGCAGCCACAGACAACATTTAAACAAATGAGAGGGTTGTGCTCAAATATAGCTTTATTTCTTAAAAACAGTTCATAGTTTGTATCCTCTCTTCTAGGGAAAGTACCTATAATATCAGTTTGGGTTTATTTCTTCTTAAGAGGTGTTAGAACAATCTAAAATTGGCCCATCTGCAATTATATCCTCCCAAACCTCAACTGATAGATGTTTCTTCAAAGTGGCAGGAAATTTAAAGTTTTGAGAATGTACTATTTTATGTGCACATAGTAAACTAGCAATAGAAGAACTGAGAGGTAAAACATTTTTGCATAGTAAACTATCACCCCCTTTTAATGGTTAGTTGTTTTTTCTTTTTAATTCATTCAGGTGCAAAGTTGTCTTAATGTGGAATGAGTCACTATATTCTCTAAGTAAAACTTAACATTTTGATATGCAGAAAGCTAAATGTTTTTGATGGCTATCCATTAAATTAGAAAGTTACTACTTGGGTACTGTTTGGATCATATAAATTCACTAATCCAGGTTATCTTTCTCAAGGTATTTATTTTTAAAACTGAATTCGACTAGGCAGACATACAAAACACTTGAAGCCCTGCAGGTAAATAACAAGGTAGGACAGAGTCAGATAATAAGAAGCAGTTAAGGATTCAAGCCAACATATAGGGAGAACACAGCGTAGAGTCAAAATTAACATTATTTTTATGGGTTGTGTTGGAGAGGAACAAACTTTCCTCAACCATCAAGGTTCTTCTGGCGGGATTAATAATCAAATAGATATGAGACAGATTAGCAAGAAAAAACAAGCAAATTTAATACATATATATGTACGGGAACCCCACATACACGAGAGTATCAGATTCCCCTTGCAGAATTGGCCCAGAGATAGGAAGGGAACCCGGGTAAGTAAGATGTCCAGAGTTAGGGATGAAATCATGTACCTGGGGGGCTTCACCGGGTCCTTGCAGGATGATAAGAAGAACAGATGTTTAGTGAACAAAAGTTTGCCCTGCCCTTTAGATAGGTCAGAAGAAGTTATCTCCAATAATACCTTATTATGTATGGACGAGGCCCCTAATTCAAGTTTTTTAGGTAATTAAAGGGAGGGGCAAAAGTTTTTCTTGAGTCTGCTGCTAAAGTTGTCTTTAGCTCAAAGTAATCTGCATACGCTAGGCACATCTTGGGGTGACTTATTCCCAACCCCCACACTCACCTTTGTGTCAGCTGACTGAGGCAGGACCTGGTCTCAGGAATTAAACTACTCCTCCTCAGGAATCCTGTTAGACTCAGCTGGGCTCACTCGTGTATCTCTAGCTAAATAAAGGACAGTGGCGAGACCAGCCAATTCAGGCTGAGCTCTTTGAGAAGGGTTCTGATCTCCATTCGTTCATCCTCCATCTGGCCAGTAGGTTGGCCCAAGCTAGTCCTGCTTTGCAGAGATGGCAGAGGGCAAAAGAGAGCAAGTCTGCCCACTCAGGTGCTTTAGGGATTCTGCCTGTGTTATGTGTGGAACATTCCTCTGGTCAAAACAACTCATCTTTCTGATCCAAATGGCAGAGAATTGAACCCTGGCCACAGTGGGAGGAACTGAAATTACACGGCAAAGGACATAAATACAGGAAAGGACAAAGAATTGGAACCAAGACAGTGTACCACAGCATGTATACATGTGACTGATTAAATCAAATGTGGCCACGATGTGGAATTAAGTGATAAACTGGAAACTCCTATTAATTCCTTCAGTTTAGTAGAAAACACTACAGCAATAGTTTTCCAACTTTTCAGTACAGCAAAGCTTTTCCACTCTTAAAAATCAGAGGACCTCAAAAAGGTTTTTATATTATATCTATTTATATTCACTGTATTATAATTAAAACAAATTTAAAATATATTTATTTACTTCAGAACAGCAATAACAAACTCATTACATCTTAACATAAAATATATTGTTACAAAAAAAAAATATTTTCTGAAATGGACCAAAAAAAAAGAATGTTTTATATTTTTTATATTTGGTAAATCTCTTTAATGTTTGGTTTACTAGAAGACAGCTGTTTGGTGTTTGTTTTTTAAATCTGCTTCTGAATTCAATCTCTTGGTTTTTTGTTTTTTTTTCTTTGTGAAGAATAAGAAGAAAAATGGTTATACGTAGTCAAAAAAAGCAGTAGTTTAATTGTGAATATTATTTGATACTGCTCCAGTATTTGACAAGTGAGAACTTCTTGGGAGTTGTAGTGCAGAAACAAAATACTGTACTTTCTATACTTTGTTACAATAAAATGGTTGGCTTATTTGCATTTTGAATAGATTTTTTTTATATATATTCATGATATGTAACATCAAGTATTGGTCGTTTGGTTCACTGAGCTATGAATATTTTCACTCAGCTATGAATATTTTCCAATTATTTACATATTTCATTACGTATTATTTGAAAGTTATGTATCACTACTCACCTAATCAGAAATATCTTTAAATACTGGGAAGGGGTCATATTCATAGACGTGAATACAAGTTTTCCAAATTTAATTTCTTTTAAAAATCATATTTTTTTATGGGAAACTAATGCTATGAGTCACTTTCCTCTAATTGACAGACTCATACAACTCATACTGTTGTCCATCGGTTTCTCTGTCAAGAAAAAATAAGATTATTTATCAAGTAAAAATGGCTTGTGCCGATTGCACCTCACGTAATCACATGAGTGCATTACTTTGAGGCAACCATCCTGCTTCAGAACGGGGTCAAATATGTTATGCACACTTCCCACATTAAACCTTAAACTACGAGAATTAGGTTTTGAGATTTAATACACACTCATCATTTTTACAGATTATCCAGGAAATTTTTAAGTAAAATTATCTTTCTCCCTGACACCTCGCAACCGAAAGGCTTTGATCTGCAGTGACCACTAGTACAGTTGGGTGCCACTGCCTTGACTTATGCCAGGGTGCCAGCAGTCTTGCCCATCACTGCTTCTGCATTGTCATTGCAAGTCTCAGCACAGCGAAGAATGAACAGGAATGTCTTTCTATTACGAAACTGTTCTGACCTCAAGGAGTTTTGCGAATGTTCAGGGTCTCGAGAGCCACTGATGGACCAGATCCTTGTCAAAGATTGTCTTAAAGATAATTGTGCTTACTGTTTCCAATCATTAAGCAAATTTAAAACGTGTTGTTATGTTCTCTCCCAGGGTTGTTTTGTGGGCTTTGATCTAGCGCATGCAGTTGGAAATGTTGAACTCCACTTACATGACTGGGGAGTTGATTTTGCCTGCTGGTGCTCCTATAAGGTACAAACGAGCTAATATGTTTACATCTTCTTATGCCGTATTAACCTAATTAATAAACTGGATAGGTGAACTTTTTTTTTTTCTTCCTTTATTGATTTTGGAGAGAGAAAAAGGGAGAGGGAGAGAGAGATAGAAACATCGATGAGAAAGAACATCGATTGGCTGCCTCCTGCAGGCCCACCACTGGGGATCAGGCCTCAACCTGGGCATGTGTCCTGATCTGGAATCGAACCGGCATCCTCTTGATGCAGGAGTTGATGCTCAATCATTGAGCTACACTGGCTGGGCTAGGTAACCAATTTTAACTATTTGAATTATTTTCCTCCATTTCTTTTATTAGTACATTTTCTGATTTTAGTTAATTATAGAATCATACAGTAGAATAATATGATAATTAAATTCTGGTGTTTTCATCCCTTTTAGCATATTTATTCCTTCAATTCCCCAGCTGCTATAAAAAGTCAGGAGGTTATGGGGGAAAATCTACACTTAAAAATTAATTTTTAAAAATTAAAAATTTTTTAACTTAAAAAAATATTTTTTTAAAAATATTTTGAAATATTTATGGAATCGAATTGGTATTGACTGACGTATGAGGACAATTTAATTGACAGGGAGCATAGAAATGAAACCAATTTTAATTTAAGTGTTTTTAAAATATGATATTTTTATCATCATTTAAGTACTTTTGTGACAAAATAATTGAAATAGGTTGCAATTAGATTGACTTCAGTGGAACTGTTATCTACTAGTTGAGACAAAATTTGGCCAAAAAGTAAGAACTATCTATTCTCAATTAATAATTCTATGTTCCATTTGTTTTTCTTTGAACAAGGTGACCCAAACTTCTGTTTAATTATGCTTGCTCAAATAATCACACATTTTGAACTGGTCAAAAGTCGGTTTCTTAAGAAAAAGTTCTGATTACATTGTTTATCTTTGTGATACATTTGGATACACCCATATAATATAATTTATTTTCAATCCAGTATTTAAATTCAGGAGCAGGAGGCCTCGCTGGTGCATTTGTCCATGAAAAGCACACCCATACAATTAAACCTGCGTGAGTATCATCTCTAGGTTCTACTTTGGTGATGACTAAATTAATTTGCATCAATAATATACATGAATTCTTTAAGATGCTATCTATTAAGAATCTGGATGGATTATAATCATCTAACTACTGTATTAACAGTGAAGTGCCTTATCAAAAATAAATACTTTCCAAAGAGTTCAATTGGTTGAACAAGAAGTTTAATCACCAAAAGGGAAGATTCAATGCTAACAAGTAACCGTAATCATGTAGAGCAGATGTATTTAATGCAAAGAGACTACTTAATGTGTTTTTTGTTTTTTTTTTTTCAAAAATTACAGTTCAGAAAAGTTCTGATTTCTCACATTGAAGAATAAATCAAAGGCAACCAGGGATGTGCAAAACAGAGCATTAAACATGCTGTTTTATTATTAAAATCACATCTACTGCCAAAGCTAGAAACATAATATGATGATCTTGGAAGGAATATCTTCTGTCCTAAAAGATTTTATAAAGCATGAAAAATGAAGAAGCTGAGCACTAAACAACGAACTGACTACATAAAGAGCAATGCTTCTCTATTTTATGTAACTTTCTTCACTTTTTAGAGCAAGTGAAAATGCAAATGTGATACACCAACAAGTTTACACATTTTTACTTAACTGGGGAGCTCACAGCATTCCTTTTACTTTTCTCTGACAAGGATATGAAGAAATAATATTCTGGCCCTGGCCAGTGTGGCTCAGCAATTAAAGCATCAGCCCTTGAAGGATCTCAGGTTTGATTCTGGTCAAGGGCACATATGTGGGTTGCAGGTTCCATCCCTGGCCCTGGTTGGGGTCATGCAGGAGGCAACCAATGTGTCCCTCTCACACCCATGCTTCTCTCTCTCTCTCTCTCTCTCTCTCTCCTTCCTTTCCACTTTCTCTAAAAATCAGTGGAAAAAATATCTTCAGGTGAGAATTAAAAAAGAAGAAAGAAAGGAAGAAAGAAAAAGAAAGAAAGAAAGAAAGAAAGAAAGAAAGAAAGAAAGAAAGAAAGAAAGAGAGAGAAAGAGGGAGAGAAAGAAAGAGGGAGAGAGAGGAAGGAAGGAAGGAAGGAAGGAAAGGAAGGAAGGAAGGAAGGAAGGAAGGAAGGAAGGAAGGAAGGAAGGAAGGAAGGAAGGAAGGAGAAAGAGAGAGAGAAAGAAAGAAAGAAAGAAAGAAAGAAAGAAAGAAAGAAAGAAAAGAAAGAAAGAGAAAGAAAGAAAGAAAGAAGAAAGAAAGAAAGAAAGAAAGAAGAAAGAAGAGAAGTAATATTCTGGAGGAAAAAAACTTTCACAGTTGTATCAGAGTATGTGTGATAAGGAGACTATCAGACTCTAAATAGGTACCATAATAATATTTGATTAATTTTCTAAATCTTCTCAGCCACTGGCTGAGTAGTATAATCTTTACAAGAATTGAAGCTGAATTAGTAATAAAGCTTGGAACACCTCACATTTCTGAGATCCTACATGTATAAATCCTAGAAACTTAAGATAATTTTCTATAGTTCATTTTATCATGTCTAAAACTTCTTCAAGATTTAAAAAATTTTAAATAAAGCATTTTCTCTAGACAGGTATTTTGTCAGTCTTTTCTAATGATTGTCAGTATATTAGATTTCTCCTTGTGTCTAACATTCTCTGCAAAGCATATATTATAAGAATACAATGCATATCATAAAAGGCCTCTTTGCAATTTTAGCAAACTCCATGGATATCATTTTACCTGACATGCTTGTTTTTATACCAGGTATTTGCTGGCTTTTGTGTGAGGAACCATCACACTGAACACTTCCCACTCTCCACTTCTTTAAATTGTAATAGAGGACCTGACATATTATATCACCCCAAAGAGCAAGCCAGTGGGAGTGATGGGGGTGTGATAAGGAATCTGAACGAATCCTAGAAAATGCAAGTATTAACAGTTAAGCTCTGATCTTATAACATCAGTCTATTGAACCTGAGGTTTCTCGCACCATTATCTGTCCTTTATGGATGAGGAGCCAGGGAGAGTGAGGGGGTTGCAGTGTGCTCCACATGTGTTGTAGGATTCCAGCTTCCTCGAGATGCTATAATTGTTAAGTCTCTGTTCCAGGAGAAAGACTATTTAGACAGACCAGATTCATATGCCAGCTTGGCCACTTGCTGGTCAATGACCTGAAGACTGTTCCTTGACATCTGTGTTCTGTTCTAGCCTCTCACTAAAGGCAGTGTCAGCATCTACCCTGTAGTCAATGAGTGAGAAGAAAATGGGATGATGCATGGAAGGCCCTGAGCACAGCCCCTTCAGCATTGCATGTGACCACACAAGTAGGCTAAGGACTTTGGCCTCACTGTGAACTTGCATGTTTGTTTAACGTGTAGACGTTAGCCTAGTAGAGAATATTTCTCTCGAGCACGAAACACAATCCCAAACATGTCTTCTGACTGTTAGGTCATTGCACAGTGCTGTGCCGATCACCACGTTCATCTCAGCAGGCCTGTGACAGACTGTGCAAGTTTCCTTTCCTAGGGTCTCTCTCTACCGGCCTTACGTCCTATTGGTTTCTTCACTAATGAGATCAATGAGATATTTATGCGTATTCATTTTATATTTGTGGGAGAGCCGTGCTTTTAACTTTTTTTCTTCTTTTTATCCTCACCCGAGGACATTCTTCCATTTTTTGTTCAGACAGAGTAAGGAGGGAGAGAGAGAAACATCGACGTGAAAGGGACACATCGAGTGGCTGCCTACCACACAACCCAACCAGGGCCGGGGACAAACTGCAACCAAGGTACATGCCCTTAGCGGGAACCAAACTCAGGTCTCTCTGGACCGCAGGTTGATGCTCTAACCGCTGAGCCAAAACGGCCAGGGCATAACTTTTTAGAAAATTGTGCCTTATCGTTGCATTTTAACTATCTGGCTTTGGAAACTGACAAGACTCAAATCAGGCTTTGACTCACAAAGTGCTCCTTACAGGAAACCCTGGTCATTGTAGTTTGTTCACATGTTAAAGCTTCTTTGAAGTGATGTCAGAATGGCTAATTCCAATGGAGCCAATTTATATTCCTGTAGGGAAGAATGTAACTGATATTGCGATGCAAATTTTGTTGCTCAGAAAAGGGTGACATCTAGTGGCTAACCATGTTATTTCAAATAAATAATATCCGAATAGTATTTCTTTTCCTGGTCATATCTTTCAATCCTTATCAAGTATTTTAAAAATACATACATATATACAAAATGTCTCTTTTATATCATTTGGCTCTGTATTTGTAGTGCAATAATTGTGTAAGCAACGCCTTCAATAAAGAGGTAGAGCAGGATGAAGGTGGAAGTTAAAGTGAGAGGTACTCTAGGTGCTGGTTAAGCAGCACACGCACGTGTTCAGCAAGGCTGGGAAAGAGGGCATATGGACCACCCGGTGTAGAGACTGGATCCTGGGACATGTAACTCTGCACACTCTAAAAGTGTAATATTCAATATATAATTCTGAAATATCTTTTAAATGATGTTTCCATTAGCAACTGGTAAATTACATCTCTACCAAGATATTCCACTTCTTTTTTTTGCTTAAATAGGCATTTTGGCCATTGTTCAAAACCAATGACCTAAGACTTTTTCCAAGAACATTTTGCCAATAAAGAGAGTGAGTAGAGGTCAGAGTCAATCCACTGCATTAAGCATCATAACTCAAGCTGTTATTCTCAACTAGAATTTGACCTTTTTCTAGTTTATCATCCCTTGTTCTCACTCCGGTGTCATATGCTAACCCTTGTATGTAGCTAAGAAGTACTAAATTAAGATCGTGAGTAAATACCATGGTGTACTTTTTCCCTTGAGGACTGACTGCTTTTCAGTCTGTAAAGTTAGTAATTGCTCTGAGATATGAAGGGAAATACTTTCAATGATAAAAATTTGACAATCAGAAATGTATCACAAAAAGTACCTAGATACCTTTGAAATTTTCTTTTTTCTTTTGATAAATGTTGTGTTTTCTGGTACACTTTAGACCAATACCTAATTTTTTAATTTCAGTGACTTCAAAGATTTCTGAAGCCCATATAAAATAGACTGCAATTCAGATCCCACCATCCCCCCTTTATTAGAGAGACTCCAGCAAGAAGACTGGAGCAGAGCATATGAACTCTTGAGGTTCCTTCTATGGTTAACTTTTTACCCTGTCCAGTGACATCACACATACTGAAAAAACTGCTGTTCCTCCCTTTCCATGCTGACTTCACACACTTCCCAGTGCTCCCGTGTGCTAATTACATCTCTTGAGATGCCCTGTTTCTCCTGGACTTTTTTTTTTTTTTCCAAAAGCTTTCTGAGTGACCCAGAATAGGGCCTAATAATAATTTGATGAAAATGCTTAATTTTCCATCATGCCAGCACATTTCCATAATCATCTAGAGGTGTTTGATTGAAGGTTTTAAATAGAGATGACATTTTAAAATTTTTATTAAGAGCATTACTCATCTACTTTATTGTAATAAGTAATTTCCAGGTTAAAAAGAACCGGCCAAAGTGGCTGGCTGACTTCAGTGTGAGGCTAGGGCAAATTTTAGAAGGCAGAAATGTTGTTTACTGGTATTATCATTTGGCAACTTAAAAAAAAAAAAGAAGAAGACACATCAAACAATATTTAGAAAAGCCTAAGAAAAGATAAAAGTAAGCATCAAAACTTTAGCAAAAAGATTTTTAAAAAGATACGCCTAAGCCATGCTTGGCCCAGCTGTACATTTAATGTTGCGTGGGGAGAACATCTACAGCACCCTTGTTCGGGGCAAGGCTGACTTGATACATTTGATTCCAGATACTTCCCCAGACGGTGTTGGAGAATGCCATAGCCCAAAATGTGTCTGTAATTTAAACCTGGTTTTAGTCTCAGTCATCCTTTCTGACTTACTAATTATCACGTCCTTGTTGAGTACCTACATGAAGTCTCCTTGTTATGGACAGAGAACAAAGAAGCGCAAGGTGATAGTAGCAAGATGTGACTTCAAAAGGCTCCAGACA